AACAGTACTTTAAACACCTGTTTATTTTAAGCGTTTTGATTTAAGTTATCTGTGAAAAAAAAGTATTGAATTAGTGGCTGATTCAGAATTGTTGTAGCATTTTTGGAGACTTTTGGGCATTTTTTTCTCTCACAACACTGCCCGCATTTTTATCCTCAAGGAAATATTTATTATTTTTGTTGTTTTCGACTTTTTTTCTTTTACTTTCTAGAATCATGAAGCTCACATTTCTATCTCTCCCAAAAAAACACATCTTGATGTACCCCTTAGCACTTTCAATGCATTAAATAAGCACAGTAAAGCTTAATGGAAGAATGTGAAAATGCTTAAACGGTTATACCCCAAATAAACCATATATTGTTTTTTGTTCTATTATGCACAACTCCTAGCTTTTGTTTTAAAGGAAACATTTCTACTTTTGCTATAAACTTCCTAAACTTGCTATATTCTTTCATTATTAGTTACCAAAATCTGCTTTAAAGTTTTTGCAAAATGTAGCTCAGATACTGTAACAAGCCATTTTTGTTAATGCACTTCGAATGATAACATTTTTATTTTATTTTAGTGACTTAGACACCTGATATGTGTATGCCTTATGCTGAAACAGATCCTAAACCATTTCAATTTTCTCTGGTTTTTACTTTTTGCTCTTCACCACAAACATATAACAGCATCTGATATGATACTATTGTTAAAATAACTACCAATAGGATATGTCAAAGCATTCAGAGAAAAAAAAAAACTGTGACAAGTGTTAAAGATGTGCTAAAATAGCATGCCATCTTGCATTTTTTTACCACTTGATATGACACCTTTTGACACTTCTGTGTTTGTGTGTTCAGGGACAAAGCATTCAGTGTTATTTCACCACATTTCTCTCTTTTGTTTTTTTTATTTGAGTGGAAGTTTCAAGACGAGCGTCTTGACGAATTGCATGGCCTGGTGTTGGAAATGCAAGACGCAGCAGCATATTGCAGGTGAGTGAAGTCATTAATATTTCCTCTGTATCAATATCACTGGTGGAAAGGTGTGTGCAAAAAATAAAAAAATAAGTAAAAAAAAAAGTGTGTGTGTGCCTCAGATTGACAGGTGGATGATCTCAGTGAGTGGAGCACCCTGGGATCGACTGCATAATCAGTGAGACAAAGGAGCACAGGAAGAGACGAAGAAATGAAGAGAGGGAGGAAAAGTGTGTGTATGTGTGCGTAAGAGAGGGAGCAAGAGAGAGGGATGAGAGAAGCAGAGAAGTACGGAATAGTAAAATTCCCAGAGGTGTGGAGGGGTTGTGTGCGCTCTCGTCTCTGTTTATTTCTCTCCATTTGTTTGAAATGGTTTGTGTGTGTGTATATATGTTTCTCTGGTGTCTATGTACACCTCTGTGTTTGTATGTTGGTGTGTACATGTGTGCAGGAGTTGTTTGATCGTTTTCAACAGTAAATAGGTTCATTGTGAGAACAGCAAAGGTTCCACATCAGGAGGCTTCCCTGGTAATTATACAGGAGCAGTCCTAACCCCTTCCCCTCTTTAACGTTCACATCAGTGATCTTGTTGTGGTGTGCTTCTTGTGTATTGTGGTGCGAGTGTGTAATGTGGTGTGTTTGTCTTGCAATAGAGCAACGAATCTGTGATCTCAGGTGCCTTGCACGTAAGCTGTGGTTGACATCCTCGCACGCTGTTCCACAGTAAACAGGTTTTCTCTGGCAGCGCCGGAATTAAGAGAGCGGCGTATGAGCTTGTGGCCGACCACGGGGCTCAAAGCTGGAGGAGTCTGTTATAATTGACCAACTCTGTCGACAAGTTTCACAAGCGTCTCCTGTTGCTCTCCATTCGGTTTGGGCTCTGTTTCATCTATGCCTTTTTCCGTTTCAGATCTTCACATCTCACATTTGAGGGTAAATAAAAGCATAACGGGGCCAAAAGGAGTTCATGGTGGGATTATGAATTCAAAGTGCTTGAAATCAATATAGCTAATGGTGGCCTGTCAGGAACAAAGTCGATGTTTTGATCTTTGTTTATTTTTCAGCATAAAAGGCTGTGTTTTTCTTTTTTCATATTATAATCTTTAGTGCTAAGAACCTTTTCCCACTAGGAAAGCTCTGCTAATATCTATACAGTAGAGCTTTAACTAGGAATTAATTTTGGAAAGCTGTAACTTTCCACAATGGCTCTCAAACCTGGTCCTCCGGGCCCAAAGTCCTTCATGTTTTTGATGTGTCTCAGCTCTAGATCACCTGATCCAAAAGTTACCATGACATCCAGTGTGCCATCAAGTGCTGTATCATAAGTCTGCTACAGGTCTATTCATTTTAGTCATGTTTGGCACTAAGGAAACACCTAAACATGCAGGTGAGTGAGCTCTACAGAGAAGGCCGGATAACCCTTGACCTAGAGGCCCCTTTCAGAGTTCTTTCATGTTTCCTTTCCACATTTGATTGTTTCACACAACTGCAGCCTGTTTTTCTTAATTTACTTTGGGTTGAAAGTTTCCGCTCTGTTCGGCATATGTGACACCAAACAGATCCATGTCGAATGATCGAAGCATTATATTCCAAATAGATTCAGTGGATACTTAAAACGACCGACATCAAGTTGAACTCAGACACCAATGGCAACTCCACATAAGGACAAAAGTAAAAACATACGTACCTTGGCTGTGTTCGAACGTCCGCCCCAACTCCTAAATCCCTCAATCAATATATGGAGCTGGGATTATATAGTGGACTTTATAGTGAACTCAGTTAACCGACCATTCGGACAGATGATCACTACTTTTCACTCCCCATTGGTCACGTAACTCCTCCTCCCTGCATGGTGTCTGCACCGTCTTTGTTCTCTCTCACACCCAAAATTAATCCCATGATGCTTTGCAAGGAGAGCTCTGGGATATATGTGCTCATCTAGCAACCATGGATGATCAATACTTTTCAAGGTGCATTGTGGGAAATTTCCAGTCCACTACTTTATCATCCACTAGCTCAAACACTCATCTAAAATGGGGTAGCCACTATATAACTACATAATGATTAGGGTGGACGTTCAGACACAGCTCTTGTTAAGTATGAGTGGGAGCTACAAGAGCGAGCAGAAGAGTGCTGCAGTTTTGTGTTTTGGCCACAGGTGGTAGTATCATTAGAACATTCTGTAAAAACTCTATAATAATAATAATAATAATAACAATAATAGTAATAAGAAGAAGCAGAATTGAACTTTATTGATCTCACACTGGAGAAATTTACCTCTGCATTTAACCCATCCCCTTGGAGAGTAGTGGGCTGCCATCGTGGTGCACCAGGGGAGCAATCAGGAGTCAAGGGTCTTGCTCAGAGACCCAGAGTGTCAGTCTGAGGGAGTGGGGCTTAAACTTAGAACCTCAGGAATCCAAGCTTTGTGCCTTAAATACTAGGCCGCCACTCCCCCTACTCCCCTATTCATCCATTTAAATTCATACAATTTAATTTATAAATAAAAGTTTCACAATCAAATAGAAAAGTTGCTCAAATTTTCTCTCTGAAAGTGATAGTCAGTTCTTAAACCACATTTAAGCATTTATAGATTTGAACTGGGTTCTTGATTTTCTTAGGTTTTAAGGCGTCGGATGTAGGAGTTTGCCTTGAAATCGAAGGATTGACGGTTCAAGCCCCGACTCCGACTTTCAGTGTCGTTGTGTTCTTCGGCAAGACACTTCAACTGCATTGTCTACTGATGGTGGTCAGAGGGCCCCGTGGCGCCAGTATACGGCAACCCCACTTCTGTCAGTGAGCCCCAGGGCAGCTGTGGCTACAATGCAGCTTGCCACCATCAGTGTGTGAGTGTGTGCGTGAATGGGTGAATGAATGTAGTGTAAAGCGCTTTGGTCAAGTATCCTGACTTGAAAAAGCGCTATTTAAGTACAGGCCATTTACCATTTACCATTTCTTTATCATAATATCACCTGACTTTAGTAAATGTTTTTTGTTCACTTTCAAAAAACCAACATGCAATAGGTTTATCCTGTAACTGTGCTAATTAAAAGAAAAAGCCATTATCATAAACGCTCCTAAACGGTATTCGATTTTCACATTTATCCAAATTACAGCTACTTTTGTGTATTTGAATAATTATTCATCTGATAAAGTAGAAAAAAACAGATCACTATGAAGCATATAAATATGTTGTTTACAACATTTTTGCAAGGAAAAATGAAGTGTTGACTTTTACCACTTCCACAACAATAAAGAGAAGTCTTTTAAAGCATATTTGTCTGCTTTTCTCTTGCGAAAATCTTGCTGAGCAACATTGCATACGGAGCATTTGGAAACATATTTTTAAGTCTTGCTACTAACTTTGGATTTAGGTTTCAACTTTGACTTGACCACTTGGTCTTATTTTACAGCCTCTAACAGGTGTTCTTTCAAGATTGCCCTGGATTTATGTCCATCCATCCTTTCCAACTTTAACCAGGATTCATCTTCCTGTGAAAGAAAATCCCCAAAGCATAATGCTGTCACCACCATGTTTCAATTAAAAATGGTTATTTCCAGTTAATGTGCAGATGTTTGTTTCCTGCCTGCTCCATGTCGTTTTAACATTTAAACCTTATGTATATGCTGAGACAGAAAGAGGGAAAAGACAAATAAAGCTTTTCATTGTCTGATATTTGTTCTGAAAATATTGTCCATCCTTCTTCCATTTTACATTTTTCTCTGTTGGTCTTTCACATAAAACATTTCTGGCCAAAATATGACAGATATGTAGTTCCAATTAATATCAATACTTTTGCAAGGCTCTTTTTCAGTGCTTAACAACTCTTTTTTAGGGGTTTAAAAAACGGATGGAGTGACAGATTCCTTTTAAGTTTTCCCTTTAATCAGTAATTTCAGTTTTCAAAAGAGGAGATCTATAATTGCATGCAATGCATTGACTTTTCAGTCTTATTTAAGTATTGGTAAGACACAAAAGTTTTTTATTGTTATACCCTGAAGATTTATCTCATTCAATACAAAATGGTTAAAAACGGCTTTTAATTGTAGACTTTATTATAGGGTTATCAGACATAAGACACACATTAAATTTGATTACTTACATAGACAGTTTAGGTTAAATTTCTCAACAATACAACAGGAAAAATAGTCAGAATGGTGCCTGAAGGCTTTCATTTGACTCCTTGTTAACATTTCATATATCTGTCTCGGGTTCTGAAATATCCGTCCACTTCCCGAGGACATTCTCTCCACAGATGAAACAAGAGAACTTGTAGCAAGAAGGTTTGACTCTGAATGTGCCCTTTTATTTCACACAGAACCACTGTAACAAAAGTAAAAAATACAACATTGAATCTGTATTTTTCTGTCTGGACTGGAGTAAAAAAAATAAAAATCCTGAAAAAGCGGGTGGCAGAATCGTTTCATGCTTAAAGATTTCTTTTTTGCAGAAGTCTTACCCTCTGCCTGATCTTGGTAATTCAATGTACACTGCACACATCATCTCTTTTACATTCACACTCATACAATATATATTCAAACAGATCTGCTTTAAGAGATTACAGAGATTACACAGGAATTACACGATCAAAGTCATTGAACCTGCATCATCCCCACCCAGCCATACTCGTCAAGTGTACACTTACTGGGTCTGAGAGTGGGAGAGCAAGCTTGTGTGAGTGTGGGGTTTATGTTTGTCTTTTTTACAGACACCTGCAGGTTAATCTTTCCTCCGGCTGCACGGCCTGAGTGGCGCACTCTGCTGGAGGGGACAAGGAGAGTAAGAAATGAAAACTGAAGAATCTCCACACCAGGAAGAAAACTTTTTATCCATAACCAAAGAGCATGCTTTGTAAGGTTGTACAATTGTACATTGGACATAGTTTTACATTGTAAACAACACTCTCTCTCAAAATAAAGATGGAAAATCAATGGCTGACAGGAATGTTGTGCAATAAAAATATTGTTACTCCACTGGTGACAGGATAAAATCTTTGTTTTTTTTTTGTTTTTTAAGAAAATGTCATAAATAAACAAGTTGTATTCAAGAAAACAAATACTTGATATTTTTATCTGAATCTCAAAAATGAAAGAATGTTGCAAAGAACTTAATTATAAAGACAAAACAATCAGTTTTTCTTTAAGGTCACTCTGTTTTAAATGGCTAATTTGAAAAAAGAGAGAAAAAAAACAGAGAAATAAGGTAAAATCTGCTTATAAAGTACATTGTAAATCAAATTGCTTCCACAATAAAACTGTTTCATTCTCTTTCTTCAAGGTTTTTATTGCTTGGTTGTAGACCGTTCAAACCAAGAGTATCATACTACAGGGTGCTGCCAGGAATGATCAAATCGACTGACCTTAGGTTAGATTTCATCTACTTCAACAAATGTTAGTATTGGGGTTAGCACTTAATGGAGTCAGTCAAATATGTTAATAGGTTTCCTTTTTTCCCAAAACTTACAGTTTGAACTTTTTTCTGTCTATTACAGAACTTTTTTAGCAAAAATATAGACAATCAGGTAAACAAAGAACAGTGATCATGATCAATGATCAAACAGTGATCATCTCTACAAGCTGTAAGCTTGAAATTAAGGGTATAAATATCCTTCTGGTCTGATGTAAAAATGACAGCAGCATGCCCCTCTAGTAGTGTGCCTCTCAGTCAAAGAGCACTTGAACCATGGTGACCAAGTAGAATCAGTGCTCTCTTGTCCAATTTCATTACAGTTCTACAATGACATTAAAACCTTCTTTTGTCCAAGAATTTAATGCATTGGCTTTTGACTTCTGACTTCACATTTTATCAAATCAAATGAACATTTTAGTGTTTTAAAGACCCAAAAACAATTTTGCAACAGCTGAAAAAAATTATTATTATCCCAAGTGTCGAATCACATCCAATCATTCCAAAGTGATACAAAACATGTAGGGAAAAAAAATTTATTCATACAACATTTATTATTTACAAAGTCCAATTATTTTGTTATGTTCATATAGATAAGTATTATTGAAATAAGCCGGTGTGAAACATGGAGTTCAAGAATTATACTCCCTACCAATGAATTGAACATTGCAAAAACATTTTAAAAGTAATTAATAAGTCCCTTTTGAACCAAAGTATGACATATATAAATCCAGAAAGTAATACATCAAGGCCAGCATAGATGAAATGAGTATCATTAAAGTGCAATAGAAAAGGATAATCTCTAGCTTTTCGGCTTTTCCAAAAAATTGAAGTTAACAAGAGCAACTTATTTCACATGTGGATCGAGAAATACCATAGTTAACAGTAACAGTAACAAGTTTTCTCTCTCTGTGGGGATGGAAGAAAATATTTAGCTTCCATGTCCATGTTTTTTACCAGACTTCTTTTTACTTTATGCATCTGCTCACACAAGATGATCTTCAAATAAGTCTTTCTTTTAAAAAATAAAGGATTTTTTAATTGAATGTAGTTTGGGATACAATTTTGGATATGCTGCAGCTTTCTAATAAATGGCATTAAGGTGGCAGAATGAACTGAAGACTAAAATTTTCTGTGCAGTTTACCTAAGCCTTTTTCTGTTCTTTTTTTTTCCTCATGTTAAATATTTTCTTAATCCAGGTTATAAAATAGATCATTTATTTTGCACTATGACTGTGGCGCAGTTCAAGAAGTCTGCAATGTTTATAAGGTTTATTTTATTGTTTTTTGAAGTGGGACCACCTTAGATTAGGAAAAGAATATGAAAAACGACAATCATCATCCTGCAATGTTAACAGATTCATTAAAACACTTTAAATAAATGAGTAAACCAGAACTAAGGGGGGTGTTGTTGCTTCCCACCTAGCTACTACATCTTACTTGTATGAGTTTACATAATGAAACATTACAAACAAAAATCAGCTGAAAGGCAATTTTACATCCAGATTATGGGTGGAACTATACAGACAGGACTGTTTTTATTGTGCGCTTTAAAAAAGTTGATATATTCATCCTACAGATGTCAGGTTTCAGTTTAAACCTCAAAATGTTATGAATTAATTCAACCCTCAAAGTCCCATTTAACTCTTGGCATTGAAGCCCCCATTCAGAGTAAAGCCTGGAGCCACTTCTGAAGCAATAACGAACATGAATATCACCATTATACTGTTTTTAATGGGGTAATTATCTGAATAGATTTGAAATCCCACAGACACAATGGGAGAATCGTCTAACTAAATAAACAGAACATCACATGTTTAACGCATTGTGTGATTTTTACATCTCGTTTGAAACGCGGGTCTCGCCAAAAAAAGAAAAAAAAAATAGAAATAAGAGGTGATGAAAATCTTACGAGTGAGTGTTGCTTTTTTTCCTCCCATCTGCACGGGAAATAGTCCAAAGACTTTTGGCTTTCGTGTGATCTTCAGGAGCACTTCAGAAACTATTGAAAAGAGAACTTAATGAACTTCGATCGTCGCGCACGGACGCGCGCACATGCAGCAGGCTCACACTAATCCAACAGCTGCTCGAGTTAAGTTTTCCAAATCAATTTTACAGCTTCGGTCCTGCACGGCTGATGCTTGTAATCGTTTATTAAAAGTACTGTTAATCATTCAGCGCAGAAGACCTTTTAATTGATGGCTTGGAAGCAACTAAAACCACCAACCGAACACTCATTAACAGTCCAACAGTTGCCTTCCACATATGAGCTACTTTCATAAAAATGTAATTTTAATAAATCAACGTCATATACAAAGAAAAGACGCTACCATACTTGTTTCTTTAAAAAAAAGAAAAGTCCAGACACATTTGTCATCAGTAAACGTCCAAGGCTTGTTTATAAACCAATCATCATCACCATTAACAAGCCACAGGATTACTGTCCGTTGGGAGCAGATTGGCCTTTTCTTCTGTTTATTCGCAACAGATGACACGTGTCTGACCTGGATTGAACCTTTGAATTGACTTCAGGGGTAAATACGGGAACAAAGACGCAACAATTAAACACGCTAATTGGCAACACAAACCGAAAATGATACTCGGAGGCTGGCTGTTGTCACAGGTAACCAAAGAGCGCGTGCTTTTCTTCTTTCTGCAGGGTCACTGAAGCCGACTAAACTTCCTGAGTGGTGACTAATAGGAAGCAGTTATCCAGGTCAATTATTTATTAACATATTATTACTTGTACCGGTGACATAATTTTAATGACGGGAGTTTTCCTCATATTTATTGACTTTAGGGGCAGAAACTAACTATAACACAGACATATAGGCAATGCCACCTCCAGGGCCAACATTAAATAGTCGCTCATTCTGCTCATTTCATCTGTGGCCAGACAATGCACTGCAAAAAAAATGGAAATCTAAATAAGTCATTTTTTCTTAAACTAAGTGCATTTGTTCTTCAATTGAGGACATAAGTGAGATACGTTGACAATGGAACAAAATAATTAACATTTAAAATAAAAAAAAAGCAATTGCATTGTCTTATTACAAGTGTATATTATCTAATTATCTTATTTTAAGAGTAAAAATACTCATTCCATTGGTAAATCATCCCATTTACCTACTAAAATTTAGGGTAAATACACTTGATTTAAGAAATTTTTACTTATTTCTAGATAATTCAGTGTGCAGGGTCGTTTAAGCAAAACCTTACACTGGAAAAACGATCTAGAAATAAGTAAAAATCTTTTAAATTAAGTGTATTTAACATTAATATGAGCAGGTAAATGAGATATTTTGCCAATTAAGGAGTATTTTTACTCTTAAAATAAGATATTTAGCTTACATGCACTTGAAATAAGACAATGCAATTGTGTTTTCTTATTTTAAGTGTAAATTGTCTTGTTCTTTTGGTAAAATGTCTCTTTTATCTCCTTAATCCAAGAACAAACGCACTTATTGTAAGAAAAAATGACTTATCTAGATTTCAGTTTTTTCCAGTGTCATTTTTATCCTTCAAAATATTCCACCAGGGGCCCCATCAGGCAGAAGCTGAGGTGTTTAAATGTTTTGGGGGGTTTTGGTGTGACCTCCCACATGACTGGTCATCCCTCACTAAACTTACTATAGGGACGCCCCTGGATTTATTGAGTGTTTCTGAGCCCGTTTCTCCTTGATTGTCCTTTTATTGCAGAACACCTGTTTCCTGCCTCTTCAGCTCTCCTCACCTCACGCACTGCATGAGAAGAAATTAATTTGTTGCAAATCTTGAAGGCTTAAACAAGACAGTGACGCCCCCCTCAACCCCTCCCCTCGGCTAAAACGACACACTAAATCCCTACAATTAGCAGATCCATATTAGCATATTAACCTGTGCTTCCTTCCGAGGCGCATCTATATGTAGGTCAGACACAGTTTTCTTAATTACTTTTTGCTGACGGAGTGCAAACATGCGGTTTGTTTTGCTTTGCGCCTTTATTGTTTCAGACGTTATTTGGGCTGGAGAGAAGGTGCAGACGCAGCAGAGGCTGCAGCACCGACTTTAACGGACGCTGATGGCCATATGAGGCCGGTGTCTGACCGGGATTGATTAAAATCCAAGCAGACTCGTAAACAAGGCCAACATGTGCGCTGACACTGAGGCAGAATGGGATTTTTTTTGTCCATTACGTTTTTTTTTCTTTTGTTGTTCGTTTGTTTTCCTTTCCTATCTTATTTTCAAATCATTTAGAAATATGGAACAGTAATTCTTCATTTTTTTAAATTATCATTACTATAAAATCGTTTTATGGTTTCTATAAGCACCCTGTGCATTTTTAAAGGAAGCGTGGATCCATTTAACCTTTCAATCCTGATTCTAAGTGTTTGAATCTGATACAATGTGCTGAAAGTTGTGTTTAAGCCTCGCCTATAAAGGGGATTACACGGCAGTAATAGGCTGGATTAAATGACTGCAGGCTATGTAGTGATTTATTATGGATAAGTCGTGGCTCTGTAGTAAACCGTTTTAAGCAATCTGGTATGATCTTGAACTCGTGGTGTTGTTGGTCTGTATTGTAAGCTTTTTATGTGACATTTTAAACAAGTGTTAATCGATTTTAGACTCTAAAATAGGTTATAATCGCTCCTTAAGCAAATTTCTGGATAATAGAGAAACGCAAATTTCAGTCTTAGCAACTGAAAATGTGGATAAAAGCTTAATAGTGTCATAAAAGTATAGAAAAAGGTGGGAGGGGTTCATCAAATAGGATGAACAAGATTGTCTTTCAAGAATGTCGTTAAGGGGAAGTTAGACGGGAGGTGTTGGTTAGAAAAGAAACATTTCACAAACTGAAATTCTTAAGTAAACCAATCAAGTCCAGTGAAGCCCTTTAAAGGGGACACATTTATAATGAAAAACACTGGGTTCTTTTCATCTAAATTATTATCATTGCTCGTTATTTTTTAAGTTAAAATAAACAATGCTGGGAATGATAAAAGCAGGATAGAGAGGTTTCATGTTTTGGGTCTGATCATGCGATCATATGGTATTTTCATATTTGGTTCCGAGTGAATGTATATAAATATATATAAGAAGACTGCATTGCTTCCAAATTATAAGGTGGCCTACTGGCAGGATGCTATTAGGTTTTAATATGTGACGTCTAGATCTATTTAAATAATCCCAATATTAGGTCCTTTAACCTGCAACGCCTCCAGTGCAACACATTTCCCAATCTTTTGGTTCTTTTTCCTACTTCCTGAATCTTGCCCCTCAAATATGACGCCCCCACCCCCACCCACTAACCCATGCTCCTCTGCTTACTGACGTCTATCCAGAAAACCTCGGGGCTGATCTAAATTCTCGCCTCTGGGCTAGTGCGAGCTTTCGGGCCTTTCCCTGCCTCGTCAGGCACCAGATGGACTGGCCCCTGTCCGGAGATCAGTGCGCATCTGCTGCGGCGCTCTCAGTCCCCCAGTAAAAGCGGGGGCCCTAGTCGGCGAAAAGCCCTATTAGGTGCAACTGGTTCCTCAGTTTGGCGGTGGACTGTAGCTGCACCACCCTGTGTATATGTATTCATTGATGAGATTACAATTGCATTTATTTTGAAATGCAAAACATAAAAACTGTGGAGCCAAATTGCAGATTTATATAGAAAAAAATGAAATAACTCAAAGCATATTTTAAACTTTGTATTTTGGTTTTGATTGCAGTCTCTCCATTAGTTTTATAAGGTAGTCTCCCATAATTGTTTTCCGACAGGCATGAAGGACTTCCCAGGGCTAGAAGAAACAAACACAACCTTTGGATGAGAAGAAGTGGTCAAACTTTGATGGTCAGGGTGCATTCATTATATTTTTCCTAATAGTTAAAAACTTATAAGGATCTCAGATGGACTGGCAACCTGATCAGGGTATACATCACCTAAAGACGCCTAATGACCCATGATGGATGGATGGATGGATGGATGGATGGATGGATGGATGGATGGATGGATGGATGGATGGATGGATGGATGGATGGATGGATGGATGGATNGGATGGATGGATGGATGGATGGATGGATGGATGGATGGATGGAAGGATGGATGGATGGATGGACCCAGCATTTCGTTTGGAGTCCTTATTTCATCTTGACTAATTTAAAAACGTGTTTGAAATAAAAAAGTATTTCTTATGAAAAACATGTGGTGACCATTTGCACAACATATTGTAGCATTGTAACATAACCACATTTCATTATTTTTGAATAAACACTTTATTTCTCCCTACACCTTTTTATTTTTTTCCTTGTGGCCTTCCTGTTCATTCCTCCTCATCTTTTCTATTCTCTCCACCCTCTTCCTCCCTCTTTTCCTTTTTTTTTCTACCTGGCGTGCGACAGCCGGCCTTCACCGGTCTACTAGCACGGAGGTTTCAGCTCGAGCCTCAAGGCAAAAATAATCGGATTCGGTATATTAAAATATAAAGGGCCTTGAGAATTGTTTTCCACTTTGCTGTTGGTACACATGAATTAAAAATCTATTCACCCAAATACACAAAAAACATAAAAGCACTAGAGTCTGTGGGTTCTCTCATGCTTAGGACTTGTTTTCCCTCCAAAATAGCATGTAAGAAGGTGGATAAAACAGCTTTCATCATGAAGAAGGTGAGGCTTTTGTAAAATAGAAAATCTTATTTTAGGAGTTTAGCAATGTGAGGGGTGGCTCCTGGAATTATATAATTTTGGTTAAAGATGGTGCAATTTTAACATAATAAAGAGCAAATATTTACCAATAGATGTTTTTATTATTATTATTAATATTATAATTAATATTATTATTATTAGTGAGGCCGGTTATTTGTTTTTGCAACCGATGCTGGACTGAGATTAAGTCGGATGCATGAACAGATGGGAAGGAAAATAGTTACTTAATTAAAGCGCAGAGTCAATCTCGGCGTCCCAGCGTCGGTGCGGTCACAGTCTGCACTTTAATAATATCAGAGAGTCGCTTTGGTTGCAGTTACAGCTGAGTAGGGGGAAAAGAGACATCCAAAACAAGACTGATTAGGGCTTATCTCTGCTCGGAGTAAAATGCTCTGCCCCTCCCTCCCTCTTTCTCTCGCTCTCTCTCCTTCTGTAGACTGACTTGGTTTTGAATGGCAGAGAATCTGACAGACAGTAGAATGTCTCTCCTCTCCTCATCTAGTTCCTATCCCTTTTCTTTATTTTCACTTGCTCTTCGCCATAGGCTCAGGCCAGAAAACTTCCGCGTTTACTCTTTTTATGTGTTTCTATTGCTTTTACTAGAAGGCCTGAGGGCAAGTCAATGGCTGTTTTCTGTATGTTTATCGTATAACCTGTATTTTCACTGCAGGTTCCCTTTGTGGCTCTATATTCTCCTGCTAGTGTTTAGCTGCGTTTATTGAAATTACCTGAATACAACCTGTCTAATAATAGATTTTGTCTTATTCTCTAAACGAGAAAAGAAGTACACATATGATATTTTTTAAAAAGTGAACAAAAACACCCTCATCTGTATCCCAGCTGGGCAAGACCACCCTTGGGGCGCGTTTTCAGGTGAGTTATAGTAATGGAAGATGAAATAAAATACTATGAGAAAAATTAAAGCAAAATTTATGTAATTAAATAAATAAATAAACATAAACATATCCAGATATGTACACGCCTGGCTTATAAGCTACAATAGTTTTTAAATAGTCCATTATTACAGGGAAAATATTCACTGAAAAAAAAAAAAGAAATTTCTAAAATGCATCAAAAGATTAATTATTTCGTTAAAAATAGCCGAAAAAAACTGGTGGGACAGTAGAAAAGGAGAAAAAAAAATCCCATCCACACAAAAATGACTACCTTAAAACATGTGTTAATTTTTATCGTTTATTTTTGTTTATTATTAATCTGCGTAATGTTATCATAAATGCGTATTTTCTGCTATAAAAAATATACAAATGAATAATAGGCGTGCTAGGGAGCAGTATTTTTTTATCTAAAATAATATTCAGGCTTTAATAATGCCTTTATCCCGTTGCATGCAAAAGTATAAAATACATTAACTGTTTCTAGCAGAAAAATGCTCTGACATTTAGTAAAATGTATAAACGATATTTTTAAATTCTACAAATAAAACTTACAGTTTTGTTGAAAATCCGCACATTTGTGGTTAAAAAGACTTTTCAGCGTCGATTAAAAACGATATCAGGACGACATAATGAGTGGCGAATGTTGTAAAAACACAAACGAGTCAAAAACGGGAAAAATGTCCACAAAAAGGCGTCGAAAAGGTTGAAAGAAGCTCTCGATTCCTTATTAGGGCGAAGATACAATATTTATTCCTTGTCTCCTGGGATGCTCCTTCTCCTTCTATTGTCCTCCCATTCCTCAGTGCTGATGCTTAATTTTCAAAACTTCTATATTACCAAGGGACCTACGACATCAGCCGAGAAATACCCTGCAAGTACAAAATCCGTGCGCCAGCCCCGTCCGTGCAGAGGGGAGACGCTCGCGTTCCGCCAGCTTTCTACCAAAACCGAGAGCGCGCAAACGGGGGATTTTTCATCTCTCTCGATTTTAAGGAGGATTTTAAAGCGCTTTTTTTATTTGTCGTTATTAAGATTATTATTGTTATTAATCGACCGGGCTTTAGAGGAAAGTAAGAAATATAAATAACAGTTTTTTGGAGAAAGAACAATGTCAGCGACCTTTCCAGGACTTGTCCACGACGCAGAGGTAGGATGCTTTATTTCATTTATATTTTTTAATTTATAGAATAAAAGCAGGAGTTTAAATGTTTCAATTGAAGAAGGAATGCGTCTTTGTTAATTGAATAGAAGGAAAGTAAAATAAAAAGCATAAAAAGTGAGATTATTTCAGAAATTTGATTTTTATTGTGTGTGGAGGAAAGTATGTGATTAAAACATTTAAGGGTGGAACTCTCTCCGCTGTGCCTTACCTTTCCTGCATGGAGAGCAGCAGGGTTGGGATAGCGGATTTGCCAGCAGCTTGGTAATAATAATAACACATAACAGCACGCCTTTTTAAATGCTGCTCGCAGAGTGACAGGCATGCCAAAGGGAGAAAAAAAACTACCTATTGCTCCTGTTGCAGCACGATCGTTCCCCTCCCAGGCGCGTTGAAATGACATCTCCTTCAGGTGGTTTAAAGTGAGGAGGAGAGAGAAAAAAAAACGCTTTGAGAGTGTGTGAGTTGTATTTTGGAGTGTGTTTGGGAGGCAGAGAGAAGACATCGGCTGATGCTAAATGACACTGCTCATATCTTTCCCTGTCTCTTTATTATCTTACAGATACGTCACGACGGTTCAAACAGCTACCGGCTCATGCAGCTCGGTTGTCTGGAGTCGGTGGCCAACTCCTCGGTCGCCTACTCCTCCTCGTCGCCGCTCACCTACCCGGCGCCGGCGGGGACGGAGTTTGCCTCGCCCTATTTTTCGGCCAACCACCAGTACACGCCCCTGCACCACCAGTCATTCCACTACGAGTTCCAGCACTCCCACCCGGCCGTGGCCCCGGAGGCCTATGGGCTAAACTCACTGCATTCGGGCCAGTACTACCAGCAGATCCATCACGGGGAGCCCGCTGACTTCATCAACCTTCACAACGCGCGCTCAGCCCTCAAGTCCTCGTGCTTGGACGAGCAGCAGCGGCGCGAGCTGGGCTGCCTGGACGCTTACCGACGGCATGACTTGTCGCTGATGACGTCACATGGCTCTCAAGCCTACGGCGTCGGCATGCACCACCCGGACCAGAGGCTGCTGCCTGCCGCCGGCCTAGGCCTCCCTCCGGCGGCGGCTGACGACCTACAGGTACTTACTGGCGGCCTCAGAATCCAGACTCTAAACATCACAATGCACCTTAAAATGAATCTGTTTCACGTTGATTTACTTTGTTTTGACCAGAAGTAGTAAACACGGATATGCAACTGCTGATAAAATGCTACCAAGGTGCCCCAGAATCCCTGCCCCACTGGCCCACTATTCACCCCCCTCCCCCTCCATATTGTAGGAGCCACACTGCAATTCCAAAATATTGAACAGAATAACAGCGCCAGATGTCTGTCTGTCCGCCTGTCTGCTTCATCTTTCTGCAGTCTGTGAACCCCACAAAGCTTTATTGGCCCATATTTCCACTTAGGGACTGCAACTCTACTATTTATTATTGGATATGATCTTGAGATACTTTTGTTTCCAAAGAAAAACGTGAGCGCACAAAGGGGCTAAGTAAATGTCAAGTCCACACGGCACGACGCATCTGAAAGGCAGGCCTGTTTCTAAAGGTTAATTGACTGGCAGTCTATACAGTCCCATTGTGAAATCATCCCTTTATTTCTTCCAGAAACACACGTGACCCATATTTTACATAATTCCTTTCGATGTAAAGAAATGGCCAAGATGGAGAAAAAAAAGGAGGGGATTCACATGGCTCTTGAGCGTGTGTGTGTCTGCTGGGGCAAAGAAAAGCCGCTGCTTGCTCTATTCTCCGGTAAAGGGCGGATTAACGGATCGAGCTTCGGGACACAATAGCCGGCTCGAGCACCATAAAGCACCGTAGTTTATCCAATTACGGACTTAACGTCAATCAACTTTGTTACTTATGCAGCAACATCTGAGCCGGTGTTAAAAGACGCGTTTCTGGTTAAACACAATTTAACACATTTGCAGATCATTTCAGTCGCGTTAACAGTCCTTTTTATCCACAAGTAAAATTTGTATAACTGGTTAAAATCTCACTTTTTTTTTGTTTCCATGTGTAAAAATGCACAAGGATCATGTATAACAGAAAATATGCAAAAGGAAATATATTCTAGATTAACAACAAACGATATCATCTAAATAATAACGTAAATTACAAATAAAACTTTATTACGTTTTACAAATGTAGGTAAAAGATGGAAACAAACTCATAATGACGCGTTGATGCTATTCAATGTCAGTTATTTGTTTATATTTTTGTGTTTGTTTTAAATTTGTGCATGTGATTTAATTTCGTATCTTTATTATAATTTATTGAGCAAAACCCAAATTATTATTTTGTGCATTTAATTTAGCATTTCTATTATTTTCTTATCCACATTTTAGAGATTTAGGTTTATTTGATTTTTATATTGGTTTTACTATAAGTTTTCTGGATTTTAAAGGGCGCACATTTGACCTTTTATATGCGGGAAAGAAAGGAAAGGCTTTTGAACCTGAGCTTGCACGAGGCGGATGTATGAACCCAACAGATGCGCCTATGGTCTCGTGCAGCCCAGTCGCATCTTTGAGCGCCTTAAAGAGATTTTTCATGGCGAACAAAAGCAGCTGCCACACCTTTCTCCCGTCAACGAGCTAATTCATGCAAGACCTCTGCGTTTTGTATATTGATTTTATAATCACTTTAGCTCCGGAATAAAAAGAAAAGAAACAAGCAGTGGCTGGTTAAAAAGGAGCACCGTTAACCTTCTATCTCTCTTTTTTTTACCCTTCTCCTCCCAGTTTATTTTAATCAGAGGGGTTCTGCTTGGGCCAGGCCTCGAGGCTCGCATGTGAGATTAAGGGTTTTGTGAATAAAAATCGCATGTTCTTCCTTCTTGATGACATTGTTGATAGCACGTGAGTCTGATCCGGACTGAAGTGTGTTGCTCTTAGCAGATCGTCGTCCATGCAGGCCCTTTTACGTTTTAACATGTTAATTTCAACAGGTATTATGATGTTTTAACCACCTCCAGACAACTTCGGCTAATTTCTGAGTCCAGATGAGTCGCACTGTCCTTCATTGTAAGCAGTAGACTTTTAAATTACCGGCTTCTTTTGGGGCGAACCTTGAGCTGCATCTTTTATTTTGCTGTGACCTCAGATTTGTTAAAAGGTTCTTTAGTGTTGTCCACTTTCTAACAAAATGGCCGCCTTCTGTTTAACCAGGCCAAAAGTTTAATGTATTTCTGTAAAATCCGGGAAAATAGAAAAGGCATCTCCAATCCAATCCAAACCACTTTGGAAGACAAAAATCCAAGATCTCAAAAAAAAAAAAACAAACAAAAAAACAAAAAAAAAAATCAGTGACGCCTTCAGTGAGTTTTGTAAAGCGTGCACTAAATATTTTTACTAAAATTAAAGATCACGAAATCACACATTTAGTTGTACAGACAATTTTACGTTTGATTTAAAGTCATGCCTGGTCCTATATATCTATTTATTCTACATTTTTCTGTTAGTTAATAACTTCAACCTTCATTTTTTTTTTTTTTTTTTGGATTTTATATAATCGTTTTTTTTTCCATTAAAATAATTGAACTGATAGATCTTGAGAATTACGCAATATATTCTGAGAAAAACTTACATATACTATTTCCTCTGCTGTCATATTGAGAAAGGTGGTGGGGATATATATATATATATATATATATATATATATATATATATATATATATATATATATATATA